ATAATTATTATCGAAAAAAAATAAGTAATCCAAACTATTATAAATTCGTAATTTGATATAAATAATACATTAACACATAACCATTAGATTTAATTCAAACTATTTTTGTCACGCCCCGGACCTACCCGGACACGTCAACAACCCGCCGTACAACACGAATAGTCAACCAAAGTCAACCACATCCATATTATACAAGGCGTCATGAATATCATTCACACATAAGTCATCCATAAACATACATAATAAACAATTCAATACGCAGCGGAAAACATAGTTTGAAATCAAATGCCACACAGGGCAAACATGAGCACGCAGGCTCTAAAGTAAAATATCCATGAACATGTTTATTAATGTTGTAAAACAGAGTGGAGGAAGCACGAACCAAGTCTTCTCTCCGGGGAAATCACTCGAGCAACGAGCACAGGAAGCGAACTCTAGCCTCAACCTGAAATGGTGGTGGGACGCCCCCGAAGGGGTCAGTACTATATACGGCTATAAAGTACTGGTGTGGCAGGCATCTAATAGATATACAACAAGTATTTCAAACGCAAGACCCTCAAGTAGGGTGATAGTACATTATGATTGTAACCCTAAGTTACCCCATTTGAAAATATACTTATACTTTATATAAAAGTCAAGTAGTCGGCCCGTGGGCCCAAGTTCATTTAGAAATCACCATTCCCATTCCCCGTGACTATAAGCCACGACAACTCATAGAGTCCAACCCTAAAACATGACATTGTATTCTAGAGCTCCGCTCTATCACATCACCATACAATTCATGTCACTCGGGTCAATTTCCTTACCTTGCATTCTAGAGCACGGCTCTATCACATCACCATGCACTCCTTAGAGCTCCAACCCAATACATGACATTGTATTCTAGAACTCCGCTCTATCACATCACCATACAATTCATGTCACTCGGGTCAATTTCCTTACCTTGCATTCTAGAGCACGGCTCTATCACATCACCATGCACTCCTTAGAGCTCCAACCCAATACATGACATTGTATTCTAGAGCTCCGCTCTATCACATCACCATACAATTCATGTCACTTGGGTCAATTTCCTCACCTTGCACGAAGGTCCAATTCCTAAGCAAACCTATGCCTAGAATTGACATATCGATAAACTACCTTGGGTCATCCTTAAAGACTGCCCATAACATAACCTTAGCTTCATACTAAGTCATTATATGCACTTGAGGTATATTCACGTGCATTGCATACAATCCAATCCCTAGGATCAATTCTATCAACAATTTCCAATAATCACTAACTAGTATTTCAATACTATTAAGATTATTGTGATCATATGAATATTCTCACTTTGTAATTCTCTACATATTTACAATTATGTAGCAGCAACTTAAGTATTCAACCTCAATACATAAATATTCATTTATGTATCCACATAATTCATACATGAGTAAAATGCCTATTTCACAAAATAGTTCATTTATAACTCATTTAATATCATATTATTCATACATCCTCAAATCATTTCCAATTTCATTCTTTGGAAACTATATCAATATTTAATCAATATTTAATCATCATAATCCATGAAAAATTATGCTTTAGGCATTTAGGTAATCTCATGCTTAACCTACAAGTTGTAAGCAATTAGATGTCAATCCTCACCTTAAATGAGCTTTAAAACTTTCCTTCTCGATCCAATGACCAAAGCCTCGGCCAAGGAAGTTTGAGAACTGATTCCTTGCTTGGAAATGAGTGTTAAACAGCCTCCTCAAGGTGCTAGCTCAACCCCTAATCGTTGATACGAAAACAGACCCTAGAATAGGTGTTTTCCGGCTAACTCGTTTCCTAGTTTTCCAAGATTTGCTCTAGGTTAGTATCTAACCTTTACACCAATAAAATAACTTTACAAGGACATATTATACACTTGGAGTAGTGTATAATAGTTCCACAAATCGTTCATATCATTGAGAAAATGAAAGCAAAGGTTTTGGGGTTAAAACTCACTTAGAAGAGTAAATCCGTTCCTGCGAGGTCGTGTTCTGCTCGGACGATTTGGAAGCTTTACACTACTCCGATTGATTCAAACCAGACCTTCACGGATTCCTCGTCTTGAAAGCTTTCGTTTGGTATCTTACACGCTTTATTTGGTTAAGTATTGCCCGAGATATGAAGCAAACAAGTAACCTTACGCACTAGAACAACTACCATGCGGACAGCTTGCTCTCTCCTTGGCTTTCTTGGTTATGTGGCTCTCCCCTTTTCTCTTATCTTGGGGAGTTCGAATGGGGGTTGTGGAGGTGACTAATAGCTCTCAAAAAATGATAAAGTATGTGGCTTACAAGAGAGCATGGGAAGATATTTGGTTTGTGAACAAATATGGGGTGGACCTCCCCTTTTTTGTTTTCTCTTGAAGTTTTTGAGTGTGTGAGCCAAAGGTCCGCCCCATGTAGTCATCTCACCTCATTTCCTTTGTCTTGCAGGTACTCAAGCCATGTGGAATGGTTCCAACTTGATCCCAATCAAATTGGGATCCAAAATATCTACCAATACTTCCAAGAAAATGGAAAGATGGGTCCTATTGTTTTATCTTAGTCATGAGATGTTTTTTTTGTACTCATTATAATTTATGTAGGCCAAGTCAACTCCATACATCATATTATTGATCCCCAATATGTGTAGGATCATCCCAATAATTTACATGATGAATATTATAGAAGAAAAAACCTACTCCCATTATTTAGCTCAATAATGTCAAAGAGGGGACCATAGGCATTTGTATTCTTCCCTAGCCATTCTATCTCTTATTTTGACATTAGTATTTATATTCTTGGGCTACAAGCCGTGTGGGTCACTCTCGAGTGGGCCTAGGACGCCATTCTTGAATACTTACTATTTTTAGCAGGTTGGGCCCAAAATAACGTTTTGGGCTGCCCAACCTTTCTCAACTTGTCTTGAAAGGTTACGAATCATTATTTATATAATGTCGGGCTCTTATATTTATTAAGAAGGCCCAAATAAGTATTTGCGAGTCCATCACTAATATACGAGTTCACTCAGTACAATAATCAATCAAGCACTACGCAAAACATTAATTGTATTATTCGTTTTTTTTTAAAACGAAATTTTCAGGTACGTCCGGGTGCGATGTCACAATTTTACACTACATATTTTTCAAATCATAATAATGAATTTTAAAAAATCAAAAATGAAATACTTTGTACCAAAATTTTAATTTAATTAAAAATCAACAATGAAATATCAAAATGTCTTCATCCACATAAGAAAGAGTGTAAGTTAGTTCTCTCTAAAAAAAGAGCGTAATTTAGTAGATCGTAAATGACTTGCTGGAGGTGCTGGGCGCTTGATCTTGGTTAGGATGCTGCTGGGTACTTGGGCCTTTCCTTGGCCCAATAGGCTTTTATTTTTTTGTTTTCCCTAGCCTTCTCCAAACGACGCCGTACCAAATTAAACAAAAAAATGTTAGCTTCATCATCTTCAATTGCTCGATCGTTCTCAACTTCCCTCTACGGCCGGCAAACAACTTTCCAAACTCGCCGGAAAAACTCAACGAACCAGTCCGGCAGCCCCCTAACCCGTACCTATACCCTAACTCGACGGCCGAAGCAGGGGCACCGGCCCCTCTGGCTCCCCTGTCAGATCCGCCCCTGTCATAACCATTTAGTAATTTTAGTTACTAACAAATAACAATACATACCCATTCCATAACTAAAAGTGACTATCATGTACACTATTGTATTACTTCAGTGACTACTGTAATTACGTATGCAGTTCCATCTAAGTGACTATCACAAACATGACAATCACTAAACTCGGTGATCCATAGTTACTACCACTTTCATGCTACTTTAGTCACTATGATTATGACAGTTCAACACTCTTTCTCAAACGCAGAATTTCGATTCAGACCGAAAATGAATTCTAGAAATGGCATAACATGTTTAATAAGGTATAACTCCGTTATTTTTTGGGGTTTAGTTACACTTTAGTCAAAGGATTTAATGCTAATTTCTAGGAGTTAATGTAGACGGATGGTTAACTTAATCTAGAGATGGTAGTTTCTAGGATTTCTAGGGATTTTTTTTTGGAAAAAGTACATAAAACGTACCTGTGGTTTGAGCCATTTTCAGATATGGGCATGTGTTTCATTTTCTAACAAAGTGGGGCATGTGTTTCAATTCCGTTATCATAGCAGGGGCATGGCGTCTAACACTGTTAGAAAAATTAACCCCGATTTTAAAAAGTCTCTGAAAAATTAAAAGAAAAATATCGGGAGGTGCACCTCGTCAAGGAGATCGACAAACTATCTTTATTTTTTTGTTTCCAGCCACCATATCTCCAGAAAGTCCACCATAAAATTGATATTAGCGAATTTGTTTTTAAAAAATAATCCAAATAGAGCCGAAAAATCCAAAGAGAAAGACAGTTTGTTGATCTCCTTGACGAGGCACACCTCTCAGTACTTTTTAAAATCGGAGTTAATTTTTCTAACGGCGTTAGACGTCGTGCCCCTGCTATGATAACGGAATTGAAACACATGCCCCACTTTGTCAGAAAATGAAACACATGCCCCTATCTGAAAATGTCCCAAACCACATGTACGTTTTCTGTATTTTTCTCTTTTTTTATGAGGTTACTTTTTGGTCTTTGCCAATTTATTTAGTAATATTCATAATAAAAGGCCTTTATTCCTTCAACTCCAAAGGTACAACACCTTCTCTTGGGTTTCAAACGGAATATGAGGTGGACTAAGTGGATAGTATGGTGCAAGAAAACAAGGAAATGACAAGTCACAATAGTAGTAAATGGGATGTATCTTTTTTAATAACAATAAAAGTCTATATACAACACACTTCATCTATCTTAATAAGAAAAGGTGAGAGAATAAGTTGTAAGTTCTTAAAATGAAATAAATTCTACTAGTTATAGGTGATTTTGATGATTCTACTTTCTATCCCATCCGTTATTGATGATTACAATAAATTTTATTTGTGAAGGTCCATTTCGGTGCCCTGACTAAGCCATGTGATCTTCTCCATCTACCTTTGAAAGGAGAGAGTAAATGCTAAATGCAACAACTGGCTGATAGTGCATTTGGCAGGTGATTCGTCCATTTATCTGGATCCTCTTCTCTAATTGTAGGCACTCACAGAAGTCAACGTGGGCGTTGTAAACGCTACCGATCGCCACAGATTCAGAAGGTGCACTGAAAAAGAGCGCTATAGATATGGCGAGGAAAGCAGTGTTGATTGGAATCAACTACCCCGGGACCAAAGCCGAACTCAGAGGCTGCGTCAATGACGTCCGCAGCATGCATCGCTGCCTCGTCGATCGTTACGGCTTCTCAGAGGAAGACATCACCATCCTCATTGACACGGATGATTCCTATCCGCAGCCCACCGGCCGCAACATTCGCTCTGCCCTCACGGATCTGGTCCGATCCGCCCGCCGCGGTGATTACCTTTTTGTTCACTATAGTGGCCACGGTACCCGCCTCCCGGCCGAGACCGGCGAGGAAGACGACACTGGCTACGATGAGTGTATTGTCCCTAGTGATTTCAACCTCATCACCGGTATGATTGCTTTTTCTAAGAATCGTAGTTTCAGATTTGCCCGCTAGCTATATTCTATTTTCCCCTTTGCAGCTTTTTCTTCCGACGATTTCGCTGATGTGTTACAAAGAGATGTTATTACTTATTACAGGGCATAGGCTATCTTAAATAGACACGCTGTAGTTCATGTCTGAATTTTTAAATCGAGAAGTGAATGTCAAAAGGAAAAAACAAGCAATCACTAACAAAAGTAAAAAACAATGAATTGTACACTCTTTGTCCCCTATTCATGGTTCAAGCTGGATTTTTTTCTTCGCCCTTATTTTTGAAAATAACTCTAGTGTTTTTTGTTGTTGCACGAGTATGATAACTGAGTCTACGTGTGATTGTTAATTTTCTGAAATCTGAACTCTGGGTACAGATTAGAAATGAAAAGTTCAAGCTTGTGTCAATTTTTTACGGAGTATCACTTCCTAAATTGATTTGTTTCGAAACTATTGCTCTGAGCTCATTTTTATATGAATGCTGTACACGTGGTTGACTTATCATCCCCGTTGTACCGAATGATTGATTTGGATGCTTAGAAGATAAAGTTTACCGAGTCATGATACTTGGAAAATACTCCGTAAATTTACCCATTCTGGATGCTATATACCGTTGAATAATTGGTATTCCATATGACAATAAATATAAAACTAGAAATAGATAATCATGATGTCTAATTATGAATTCTGATCTTTTCAGATGATGATTTTAGAGAGCTGGTGGACCGATTGCCGGAAGGCTGCAGAATAACAATAGTATCTGACTCATGCCATAGTGGTGGGCTTATTGATAAAGCCAAGGAGCAGATTGGAGAGAGCACTCGGGATAATGCAGCTGATGATGAGGAGGGGGAGAAGGGTGATGGATCGTCTAGATTTGGATTCAAGAAGTTTTTGCGCAAGACTGTTGAAGATGCATTTGAGTCTCGTGGCATTGAAATCCCATCTGGGTTGCATCACCGTCATCAAGACTCTGAAAGAACAATAATGGTTGTGGATTCAGAATATGGAGAGGATGAGCACCATGTCAAGAGCAGGTCCTTGCCTCTATCCACCCTTATTGACATTCTTAAACAAAAAACTGGCAAGGATGACATTGATGTTGGTAAGATCAGGCCAGCTCTTTTTGATGTCTTTGGAGAAGATTCCAGTCCTAAGGTGAAGAAGTTCGTGAATGTCATTCTTAATAAACTGCAGCATCAAGGTGAAGAAGGGGGTGGAGGCGGCGGCTTTATGGGCATGGTTAGTGGATTGGCTGTTGATTTCCTAAAGAATAAGCTTGAGCAAAATGATGATGGTGACAGTTATTTGAAACCTGCTCTCGAGACAGAGGTGGGGAGTAAGCACGAGGTCTATGCTGGAACGAGCCAAAGGGCTCTTCCCGACAATGGCATCCTCATCAGCGGCTGCCAAACTGACCAGACCTCAGCTGATGCTACTCCCTCAGGCAATCCGGATGAATCTTATGGTGCACTCAGCAATGCAATTCAGAGCATTCTCAACCAATCAGACGAACCGGTCTCAAACAAAGAGCTTGTTATGAAGGCTAGGGAAATATTGAAAAAGAAAGGGTTCACTCAACGTCCTGGCCTGTACTGCTCTGACTCTCATGTTGAAGCTTCTTTTGTGTGCTGAAAAGCGTGAGAGTGTATATGTATTGTTTTCTATATCACCATTATCATGAGCACACTTTATAATGCTTTGATTTGTGTTAATAACTAAGAAGCACCAGTATCAATATCATGTACTCTTGCTTGCTGTGTGTTTAGTGGGGCGACTAATAAAAGCGTTGCCCAAAATATGTATTGGCTCATGCCTATTCTTTGTATAATAATAATTGGAACAAAAACGAATTGTGATACATTTATGCCCTTAGGCTGTTTTGGTATTTTACTATTTTGTACTCCCTAATTAATGGTGTAATTTGATGAGCAGTGGATTAGAATGGTTAGAGGCTTAGAGCATCTCTAGTGATGCAATGGATTGGTACAAATGGATGGCCAGGTATATTAAATAGACAGTGATATAAATATCGTCTTCAATGGTCCTGTTTATTTTTGTAGTGGTGCTGAGGTGGTGGAAATGCATAGAGTAGAAAGCGTTTGATGGTCTGTCTTGGTTCAGCAAGTGTATCAAACATCGTGACTCAACAAAAATTAACTTTTTATTGATACTTTTTCAGTTTTTTGCGGTAACAGAAGGCAGTAATCCAAAAATATCCGCCAAAACCAAAAATTTCACCGCTTAAAAAAGCCAAAGAATAAACTAGGTATGCACAAGTTCAGAACGACACCCAATAAGGTTTTCTCCGCAGCTGGTTTAAAACACGAAGCATCAAGTTTTTTTTTTTAAATTTGATTACCAACTACAACATGCCTGCAATTTGATGATAAATTAAAGGGATGTGAACAAGTAAATTTCAATTACATCTACTTTAAGGCATCTATGCTTCGTTCCTGTTCTTTTAGATAAGTAATTATTTCAATTATAATTTATTTTTTACATCCATCGATTGTAATTTTTACATGTATGTTTCGTTCCTGATTTTTACATCTACTTTTCAATGTAGCTGCTTTTATGTTAGACGAATGCTTTTCAATTACTGTTTTTTCGTTCCTGCTCCAATTGAACTTTTGATTCTGATTTTTACTTTCTACGGTGGTTGTAATCATAGTAGGACTTCAGATTTGTATTTTAATTGTTAGGTATCACTAATAATTCTTCCATCTTCACTTTATATGTAGAATGATTTAAGTCTCTTCACTTTTGTTAGCATAGGCTTTATTTTTTAATTATGCATCATCTAGATTCTGAAAGAGATCTTTGAATCTTAGTGTTCTGTTTTGTTAAATACCCTCTTGATGTAGTGCTTCATTTTTCAACAATTAGTTAAGATATGCCCATTTTAATTTAAACAAATGAGCCTTCAAAACAGAAGGGCAGTAACAATAGCGAGTGGACCATATTCAAGAATATATCACATGCTATGATCCTATTAATGCAATAATGCAAGAACTTTGATTATTTAAGAAATTCTCTCTAGAGCTTTGCTTCTAGGAAAGACAGGAGTTATACTCGTTTGTTCTCCAACCTAGTTAGTAATTGAGCTTTGGTTATTGGTTTTGTTTGAATATGCATTATGTATCAATTACATTACCATTTTTCAGTTTTACTCTTGAAATGGGTGGGCTATTTATGTTAATGAAATATTGATTTTCTACATAGATGGAGCCGACATCGCATCCCTTTGTGTACCATAAACCATTGTTTCAAATTGCATAATGCAATAGCGCAATGAGGCGCGCCTCAGGTAATTTGTATAGCAAGGCACAGAATTGCATGGCGAAAGGCGGAAGGGTAGAAATATGCGCTATATGGCGTAGTGGCCTACGATTTCTGCGATGCGCAATAAGGCGCTCTAAGGCGACCGCCTTGAAAGTTTAAGAGTTTAAGTAGATATATATGTGGAGCGGTAGGGCCCACTTTTATTTTTTAGTAGGCCACCGAGCGTGTAGGCTATTCCCGACCTGCGTTGCTAGTTGCTGCTTCACCCTTTGTCAATCTTCATACAGAAGATCGGAGAAGTTCTGTTGCTGCTTCATCATCTGCGCATCACAGGTTTGCAGAAGACCTGCGCATCAAGTTTCATCTGCTTCTCCTCTTATGTGTTTATTTCTTTGATAACAGAACACTTCATATTACAAAAGTTATATAGTTTATTGAGTAGAACGAGGTTGCAGAACGGTGGTGGCATGGATAAGTGGATTTGAGATTGTAAACTTTGGATAGCCCATACTGGGATAGTGGGATTGTCAGATAGTGGGTGTGAGATAAGAACGCAAATTGAATTTAGATGACGATGTGGTGGTGTCCATTAAAAAAATGAATTGGGTTGGCAGCTGGCAGTTTATACTTCATTATTTTTGGTGCATCATTTACTTTTTTATTAATATGTATAATGTAAAATTATATATTTATATTTATATTTATATTTATATTTATATTTATATTTATATTTATATTTATATTTATATTTATATTTATATTTATATTTATATTTATATTTATATTTATATTTATATTTATATTTATATTTATATTTATATTTATATTTATATTTATATTTATATTTATATTTATATTTATATTTATATTTATATTTATATTTATATCTATATCTATATCTATATCTATATCTATATCTATATCTATATCTATATCTATATCTATATCTATATCTATATCTATATCTATATCTATATCTATATCTATATTTATATTTATATTTATATTTATATTTATATTTATATTTATATTTATATTTATATTTATATTTATATTTATATTTATATTTGTATTTATATTTGTATTTATATTTATATTTATATTTATATACTTCCTTCGTTCTTAAATAAATAAATGCAACGCTCAACATTTCACACTTGTCAAGACACAACTTTGACCATTAATATATATGATTTTGTATTAGTAAAAAAAATAAAAAATAAAATAGATTATGAAAATTTACAATGAGACAAGTTTAACAATATTTTTTTCATAAAAAAATATTATTACATTAATAAATAAAACGTAGTCAAAGTAGAACATGTGAATAGTGTAAAAGTCAAAGTGTTGCATTTATTTAAGAACGGAGGTAGTATATTTTTATATATAAATATATTACGCCTCACGTCTACGCCTCATTGCGCAATGAGGCTTACGCAATACGCAATAATAAAAAAACGCCACGATTACGCCATACGCAATTTCGAACCTTGCCATAAACATCTCCAGAAAGACACTGAAGTAACTGATCTCACTTCTGTTTACGGTAATGCTTCACACATCAACTCACAGTCATCCATGTCTACATCGAACCAATACGATCCATCAAACATGTCTTTTAGTCCTAACTTTATGATGAATCCATCATTTGCTCCTCGTGATCACTCACCTTTTGATTATGGCCTCTTTTCAAGACCATTTACACTCCCCTAATATTCCATTCGAGAGTCTTGTTACTAAAACAAGAAGAGAACCAGATAAAAGTAACAAGGCCACACAAAATATGTGTATCTCTAACTCAGGTGGAGGTAGCAAAAATTGGAGCAAAGATGAAGATGTAGCACTAACAAAGGCATGACTATATATTTCTGTTGATGTTGATGTTGATAACAATAAAAAAAAATTGCTAATATGTGGAAACGTATGTTCCAAATTTGGAGGGAGAATATGGGAACTTATGACGAGTCTCGCACAACAAATAGCTTACAATGTCGTTGGAACAAGATCGTAGCCGCAGTTAACAAATTTCATGCTTTATATAAATGACTACAAAGGCATCCAAAAAGTGGAGCAAGCCACGAAGATATGGTAAACAATACTTTCTAATTCTTTGTGTTGTTAATTTGTATTCTTATTTCAATGTAAATATTACTATCTGCCTTGATTTTATAGTGTGTGTGTTGTTTGAGTGCGTGTGCAAGAATTGACTCTTTTTTTGTAGAGGCGAGAGACAATGCGCATGTACGAGGATATTAATGAAGGTCATTCTTTCAAACATGAGCATTGTTGGGAGATCATGAAAAAAATTCAAAGTGGTGCACAAAGAAGGTTACTAGGACCGGAGATTTGTCCAAGCAAAAAGCTACCAAGCAAGTGGTCATACCCAAGTATCAACTCCACCAATGAGCTCAGGTAATGAAGACCAAAACTGTATCAACCTTGATCCTACTAGTGATGGTAAATGCAGTGATATTGAACGTCCTCAAGGATGAAAAGCTACAAAAGAAAAAAAGAAGGTTGAATGATGAAAAAAGTGTTGTTGACGCTTTGAATAAGTTAAACACGGTCTTGGAAAAACAAGTTTCAGTTAATGAGGAAGAGCTCAAGATGAAGAGGGAGAAACAGTAGCAGACTTAGCATTCTCATTTTGGGTGTTCAAAAGCTTTTACAATTAAAACTTTAGTGAACACTAAATAATGATATTAAATTTTTCGGTGTATATTCTTACATTTTTAAGAACTTTGAGTGTTCAAGGGAACACTTTGGATCAATAGTAGATCCGCCCATGGGGAGAAAGACTTAAAAGACTTCGAGTTGCGAGAAAATCTAATGCAAAAAGAGTTGGAATTTAAGGAAAGATCTCAAAAGAGAATAAGGTTTTATCTATTTTGAGAATTCCGTTATCACAGCTGGGGGCATGACGTCTAACGCTGCTAGAAAAATTAACTCCGATTTTCAAAAGCCTCTATAAAATTAAAAGAAAAATATTAGGAGATACTTTTGATTGCGCGCATTTTTAAATATGGGCATGAGTTTTATTTTTTGACAAAGTGAGACATATCCTTTCAATTTGAGGGTTTCCGTCTAAACTCTGCTAGAAAGAAGGTGACATGTCACTTTTTTATACATCCACATCACCCTTTTTACACTACTACAGGATGGATCTATCACGTCATAGCTTTCACGTCGGTTTCTAAAAAACCGTCGTCATATAATTTATTTTTTATACGAAAATATATCTTACGTCAGTTGTTACTAGAACCGTCGTGATAAGCTTTTTCTAACGGCGGGTTTTATCCCAACCGTCTTGACAGGTACATAGACCGCACACCTTGGACAAAATAATTTGCCCTTGTCACGACGGGTATGAACTTAACAGACGTAATAGTATAGCAGCGCATATTTAAAGTCTTTTTACAATTTTGTTGAAAACTATAATTCATCAATGAACCCTAGCCCTCTGGGCATCTCCTTCGCAACTCCCTTCTCTAAACACGGCCAAGATCTACTACAGTAGAGATAATATCTGGATGTACACTGATCTTTAATTCCTTCTTCTCCTCCTCCTCCAGAGATGAGAGTCCAACCTCTAGAGCTCCAGATTCTCTTCCGCGACTCCGGATCTCCACTATCCTGCCATCGCCCATTT